CTGACTCGGCCACGGCAATCGAGACATCATGAAAACATCTCGCCGGATGGTGGTACCGTGACCGAGCCCCACGTATGCACAACACAGCAGCACGCAGCAAAGCAAAAGACAGCCGACAGCGGAGTAAACCAATGACCTGGGAATAGTGAGATCCCGATGACTCGGCCTGCATCTGGCACAGTCTCTTGAGGAACACATTGCACAGCCTCCCACAACCACCATGCACAGAGAACACGAGAGGTGTGAAAGCGGCTCTTTCTACATTTGTGACTCTTGGCCCATATTCGTTCCACTTACGCCGCTCGTGCTGCTGGTACAATGCAGGAAGGGATCTGGACCCGTAGGAAGGAGCATCTGGGCAAAATACCCTTACATCAAAAAAAGCTTCCTCCCCACGGGATGATGATGATGATGATGATGATGATGATGATGAGTAATGGGCATACTACGCACCCGTTTGTCTTTCTGCTTGCTGCGATGGGCAGTCACCTGCTTCCGCGGTTGCCGCGGTTCGTACGGCAAGAGGCGACAGCCGAACTCATTTCTGGCCCAGTGCCGCCAGGCGGAGTAGGGTGCTGCCTTTGGCCTCAACTTAATATAATGCTATTTGGTTTTTCCCCTTTTATTACTCTGTGTTCATTGCTTGTTTTTGTATTGATTTACTTACTTGACTGCTTTTGTGTTTCATCATTTTCCGGTTGGTTTTGTGTTGATTTCCCCTGTTCACTTTACATATTGTAATGATATACATTTGCTTTGCCCGTAAAAGAGGCTTTTCTCATGATGACACTGAATAGACCATGACATTGTTTAGCAGTGATATTGTAACGTTGCATGGATTGTCAATGTCAAGTGATGCGTACAACACAGTGTAGTAGCACTGACCACCGCTTGGTCCGCAAGAAATACCAAGTACCTGATATTGTGCCGCAACGCTATCACCACGACTCGCATGGCAGGCCTCGGAAATGTGCTGTTCACCTGGTTGCCAAGGAGGTTGCAAGTAGTTGTGTCTGCTTTGTGTGCTGAGTACTGTAGTGGTTGTGGGGCACGGCTGGCTGATACATGACTGTGTCTCATCTGTGGACTGTCAGTGGAACGCGATTTTAAAAGCCAGCTGTCGTCGGTGTGGCTGATGAGGTGGTTGGCCGGGACAAGTGACGGGTACCGTACCCGTTTCGCAATAGTGCCCCGGCACTGGAGCCCCTACTGGCATCCCATTAGTAGCTAGGCTGTACGACCAGTAGCTCAGAACTAGCAGCCATAGTGATCACATGGTCGATATTTTGCCAGCGTAATTTTGCGGCAAAATATCGACGCTTCACTGGCAAAATAGGGATTTGCCTACTCTTGCTGTTTTCGTGCGCATAGTTAGGATCCTTAGGATTGCGTGTGTACACAGCAGGAAGTAGTAAAGTAACCTTTCAGTACTCCCTGGTACACAGTACTCCCTGGTACACAGTGCTCCCTGGTACACAGTACTCCCTGGTACACAGTGCTCCCTGGTACACAGTACTCCCTGGTACACAGTACTCCCTGGTACACAGTACTCCCTGGTACACAGTACTCCCTGGTACACAGTACTCCCTGGTACACAGTACTCCCTGGTACACAGTACTCCCTGGTACACAGTACTCCCTGGTACACAGTACTCCCTGGTACACAGTACTCCCTGGTACACAGTGCTCCCTGGTACACAGTGCTCCCTGGTACACAGTGCTCCCTGGTACACAGTGCTCCCTGGTACACAGTACTCCCTGGTACACAGTACTCCCTGGTACACAGTGCTCCCTGGTACACAGTACTCCCTGGTACACAGTACTCCCTGGTACACAGTACTCCCTGGTACACAGTACTCCCTGGTACACAGTGCTCCCTGGTACACAGTGCTCCCTGGTACACAGTACTCCCTGGTACACAGTACTCCCTGGTACACAGTGCTCCCTGGTACACAGTACTCCCTGGTACACAGTGCTCCCTGGTACACAGTGCTCCCTGGTACACAGTACTCCCTGGTACACAGTACTCCCTGGTACACAGTGCTCCCTGGTACACAGTACTCCCTGGTACACAGTACTCCCTGGTACACAGTACTCCCTGGTACACAGTACTCCCTGGTACACAGTGCTCCCTGGTACACAGTACTCCCTGGTACACAGTACTCCCTGGTACACAGTACTCCCTGGTACACAGTGCTCCCTGGTACACAGTGCTCCCTGGTACACAGTACTCCCTGGTACACAGTGCTCCCTGGTACACAGTACTCCCTGGTACACAGTACTCCCTGGTACACAGTGCTCCCTGGTACACAGTGCTCCCTGGTACACAGTACTCCCTGGTACACAGTACTCCCTGGTACACAGTGCTCCCTGGTACACAGTACTCCCTGGTACACAGTACTCCCTGGTACACAGTACTCCCTGGTACACAGTGCTCCCTGGTACACAGTACTCCCTGGTACACAGTGCTCCCTGGTACACAGTACTCCCTGGTACACAGTGCTCCCTGGTACACAGTGCTCCCTGGTACACAGTCCTCCCTGGTACACAGTACTCCCTGGTACACAGTGCTCCCTGGTACACAGTGCTCCCTGGTACACAGTACTCCCTGGTACACAGTACTCCCTGGTACACAGTGCTCCCTGGTACACAGTACTCCCTGGTACACAGTGCTCCCTGGTACACAGTACTCCCTGGTACACAGTGCTCCCTGGTACACAGTGCTCCCTGGTACACAGTGCTCCCTGGTACACAGTACTCCCTGGTACACAGTACTCCCTGGTACACAGTACTCCCTGGTACACAGTACTCCCTGGTACACAGTGCTCCCTGGTACACAGTACTCCCTGGTACACAGTACTCCCTGGTACACAGTGCTCCCTGGTACACAGTACTCCCTGGTACACAGTACTCCCTGGTACACAGTACTCCCTGGTACACAGTACTCCCTGTTACACAGTGCTCCCTGGTACACAGTACTCCCTGGTACACAGTACTCCCTGGTACACAGTACTCCCTGGTACACAGTGCTCCCTGGTACACAGTACTCCCTGGTACACAGTACTCCCTGGTACACAGTACTCCCTGGTACACAGTGCTCCCTGGTACACAGTACTCCCTGGTACACAGTACTCCCTGGTACACAGTACTCCCTGGTACACAGTACTCCCTGGTACACAGTACTCCCTGGTACACAGTGCTCCCTGGTACACAGTACTCCCTGGTACACAGTGCTCCCTGGTACACAGTACTCCCTGGTACACAGTGCTCCCTGGTACACAGTGCTCCCTGGTACACAGTGCTCCCTGGTACACAGTGCTCCCTGGTACACAGTACTCCCTGGTACACAGTACTCCCTGGTACACAGTACTCCCTGGTACACAGTGCTCCCTGGTACACAGTACTCCCTGGTACACAGTACTCCCTGGTACACAGTACTCCCTGGTACACAGTACTCCCTGGTACACAGTACTCCCTGGTACACAGTACTCCCTGGTACACAGTACTCCCTGGTACACAGTGCTCCCTGGTACACAGTGCTCCCTGGTACACAGTACTCCCTGGTACACAGTACTCCCTGGTACACAGTACTCCCTGGTACACAGTACTCCCTGGTACACAGTACTCCCTGGTACACAGTACTCCCTGGTACACAGTACTCCCTGGTACACAGTGCTCCCTGGTACACAGTACTCCCTGGTACACAGTACTCCCTGGTACACAGTACTCCCTGGTACACAGTGCTCCCTGGTACACAGTGCTCCCTGGTACACAGTGCTCCCTGGTACACAGTGCTCCCTGGTACACAGTACTCCCTGGTACACAGTACTCCCTGGTACACAGTGCTCCCTGGTACACAGTACTCCCTGGTACACAGTACTCCCTGGTACACAGTACTCCCTGGTACACAGTACTCCCTGGTACACAGTGCTCCCTGGTACACAGTGCTCCCTGGTACACAGTACTCCCTGGTACACAGTACTCCCTGGTACACAGTACTCCCTGGTACACAGTGCTCCCTGGTACACAGTACTCCCTGGTACACAGTACTCCCTGGTACACAGTGCTCCCTGGTACACAGTACTCCCTGGTACACAGTACTCCCTGGTACACAGTACTCCCTGGTACACAGTACTCCCTGGTACACAGTGCTCCCTGGTACACAGTACTCCCTGGTACACAGTACTCCCTGGTACACAGTACTCCCTGGTACACAGTGCTCCCTGGTACACAGTACTCCCTGGTACACAGTACTCCCTGGTACACAGTACTCCCTGGTACACAGTACTCCCTGGTACACAGTACTCCCTGGTACACAGTGCTCCCTGGTACACAGTACTCCCTGGTACACAGTACTCCCTGGTACACAGTGCTCCCTGGTACACAGTGCTCCCTGGTACACAGTGCTCCCTGGTACACAGTACTCCCTGGTACACAGTACTCCCTGGTACACAGTACTCCCTGGTACACAGTACTCCCTGGTACACAGTGCTCCCTGGTACACAGTACTCCCTGGTACACAGTACTCCCTGGTACACAGTGCTCCCTGGTACACAGTACTCCCTGGTACACAGTGCTCCCTGGTACACAGTACTCCCTGGTACACAGTGCTCCCTGGTACACAGTGCTCCCTGGTACACAGTGCTCCCTGGTACACAGTACTCCCTGGTACACAGTACTCCCTGGTACACAGTACTCCCTGGTACACAGTGCTCCCTGGTACACAGTACTCCCTGGTACACAGTACTCCCTGGTACACAGTGCTCCCTGGTACACAGTGCTCCCTGGTACACAGTACTCCCTGGTACACAGTGCTCCCTGGTACACAGTACTCCCTGGTACACAGTACTCCCTGGTACACAGTACTCCCTGGTACACAGTGCTCCCTGGTACACAGTACTCCCTGGTACACAGTGCTCCCTGGTACACAGTGCTCCCTGGTACACAGTCATGCCAACATAGTACATGCACAATGCCTCACACCAAAAAAACATGTTACGGTTCCGGTTGGGTGAAAATGACGGCCGTTCGGTGACCCGAAACAACCAATGAATTCTGAGTGGCCAAATAACAAATACAAGTTTCTTACATCTGGACGTTTCTGGTATCATTCTTGTGTCAGACAAAATATTAATTTTATTGCAGCTGGGCTTAGCTGGGCATGTCCAATACAATAACTTATTACAATCATTGTATGACATTGATCACTCTGTAGAATCTTCTGAAAGTGTTGATATGTGCTTTGTCCACTCTTTCGCTGACCGTAGTTAGTGGCTTGACTGGGGTTGCAAAGAATGGAGCGGCGATCTCTATAAAAGCCATTGTGTTGAAGGGCAAGTTTGCATTCTGTTAAAAGCAATGCCCAAGCTCAAAGTAGTACAATGTTAGCGTCCACTCAACCACACATGCATCTGAAGTCAAATAACTCACACACTTATAAAAGCTGGCATCAAGCAGCAGGCGCAACAAGTGAGGCATATTGCAGATAGAGCATTCGTATTTGCACATACTTCGAAGCAGCTTTTGTTCATGTATCCGGCTTGTGATGTGTGAATGTGAATATCCAGCCAGTCTCATCATTGCCACTGCCAAGTCTTGTACGCGCGAGTATGCCTTGGCAGATTGCACAGACCTGGTCCTGCAATCCTAGAGGCGCGGCATAGTCCCGGTAGTAGTGTCATGGTAAGAGTACCGTCTCACTGACTGGCATCTTGACACTGAGGGACACTATGGGACACACTGACTTCTTCTCAAACAAGTACACCTGTACCCAGCAGCACACAGACATAGAAGAAGAAGAAGAAGAAGAAGAAGAAGAAGAAGAAGAAGAAGAAGAAGAAGAAGAAGAAGAAGAAAAAATTAATAGCATATACTTCATACGTAGCTACAAGTACACACACTTGAAAGGAATCAGTCAAAAGCGTTTCTGCTGTAACTCGAGTTTCACGGTTTTAATTAACCGATCATCAGACTGCTGCAAGTATGTGCTTTGAGAGTCTTGAATGCTGAGAGTATATGAGTTATATCAGCACAGCCAGACCTGCCAGACCTGCCAGACCTGCTAGACCTGCCAGACCTGCCAGACCTGCTAGACCTGCCAGACCTGCCAGACCTGCCAGACCTGCTAGACCTGCCAGACCTGCCAGACCTGCTAGACCTGCCAGACCTGCCAGACCTGACGAACACTATACACTGTAATAGTATAGACAGCACCAAGAGAAATCTGAATCTGGGACAGAGGAGGTGCATTGTAATTTCAAATGTTTGAAATGACTCTGTGCATGTTGAAATTCAAACAATGGCGGCAAATCCGACAGGGACATGAAGCACTGTCACTGACCTAGCAAAAGAAGACATTATATGGATACAGTGTGCTGTGTGTTGCTGGTTTAGTTACATTTCATGCGGCTAGTTGAATTGGTGACAGTGTGACTGTACAGTGCCGCATGATCCGCTCACCTCCACATTCTCTGCTTGTCCTGTGTTGCTGGAGCATTCCACCCTGACTGCATTGCGATACTCAATAGCAGGTAGAAGCATGGGAATATGCAGGTGTGTGGGCGTCACGGCATACAGGTTGTCATTGTAGTGGAATCCCAGATAGAGATGTGTGAAGTACTTCTGCTGTCCGGCCATGTTCGTCACCTTCAAGTGCAGCGAGAATTGTGGACCGAATCCCTGTGTACACACACACACACACGCGCACACACACACACACACCGTGGCACACATACACACACACACACACACATACACCCACACCCACACACCCATGCATGCACACATGAACACACACAAACGAAACGGTGAGTACTTTGCAGAGGCCAAGTTCACCCAGCCATCTGCATTATTGACAATGAAGCAGGGACGTCGGAACCGTTTGGCCGCACCGGTTCCGACGTCCCTGCTTCATTGTCATCTTGTGACTTTTGACGCAAAAAATATGGGCTATTTGGGCCCAATTTCCCTAACATTTTCCCTGGGGAGGACCCCGGACCCTCCACCTATTCATGGTCGTACCAATGTCGAATACCTTCCGACGCCCCTGTGAAGTGATCCGCAAGTGGGTACATACCCGGTCATGTACTGCAACAGTGGCAGACAGTCAATACCCGGCCATGTATTGCAATAGTGGCAGACAGTCCATACCCGGCCATGTATTGCAATAGTGGCAGACAGTCCATACCCGGTCATGTACTGCAACAGTGGCAGACAGTCCATACCCGGCCATGTATTGCAATAGTGGCAGACAGTCCATACCCGGCCATGTATTGCAACAGTGGCAGACATACACCATTACACCCCTACACACAATAGGTCACAGAAATCAGGTCAAGTTGTCATGCAATCACTTTTTTCATTTCTTACACTGATTTCGCCCAGCAAGCGTATATCGTGAGCACGTTGTTGTGTGATCTCCTCTCTCGCATTCGTTGCCGCTACATTGCCGCCAGTGCTAAACGGTAGCTTGCCAGCCTGCATCATCTCTGCATAGGCGCGTGCCACGGAAAGTTTCAACTGTGCAATGTCAGCCATGGACCGAGTGTAGAGCTCCTCGGCGGTCTCACGCTCGCGTATAGCCTGCTTGGAGTAATGCCGGCTCTTCTTGGGTATTGTTAGCTGCTTAGCTGGCTTGCCAAACGCCTGCTCGTCGATGTGTAGGCGTGGTGGGTTGTTACCGACCATCTTGGCATCTCGCTTCAACATCCTGACGTGCAAACCACCAGCTCTGGTTACCACGACTAGAGTGCTGTCCTCACGTCCCAGGCGACCAAATTTCATTGCGGCAGCTGGCGACACAAGTTTGATCAAGCCTACCAGCCGATCTCCTTGCAAGATGCGGATCTCGCTATTAGCTAGGCCAACCAGGATGCCATTGAACTGACACGTTGCATGGTACATCACCTACAGCAGCACGGACAACAGTATCAGCAGGCAGCAATTGCACAAGTAAATGAATTGCATTCTTGATTAAGTCACCAGCAGCACAATAACAGCGATAACAATGATAACAACGGCGGCAGTGACAACAATGACAACACGCCAGTGAGTGGCAACATGCCCCTGGCACTCCGGACCGGGTATGTATATGTATATAGCATGTCAAAGTTGATACTATGCACGTAACAGTGAACACACAGGGCAGTGAGCAGCTAGTTTCCAGTAAGCCGTCTCACCTCTACAGTTGTGATCGGAGCAGGCATGGCAATGTGATGCTGACGCTTTCCATGCAGGTTGTATGCCTCAACAGAACGGTTCATGCAGCCAACAGAGATGTGCTTCTGCATGAGTGCCAGGCCAACAATGGCAGACGTCAGTTCAATCTTGTACTTGTGAGTGTCGGAGCCCCTCTTCAGCGTGTAGATGCAATTATCGCGACAACCAGCCACAATGCGAAAATTGCCTGAGAAAGTGCCCGCTGAATAGATAGAACCAGGAGGTGATGGCAGTTTGAATGTCTGTATGACGGTGAATGCTTCTGGATCGATGATAAACACTTGTGCACTCTCGGTGCCAATAACAACACAGCTGACACTATCCTCTTCATTGGCACTTTTCTTCATTGTGCACACGCACGTGACGGTTGTGTAGCGGCGCAAGCGACTCTTGGCCGTCTGCTGAACAAAGTCTATCATTTCCGGAGAGCCTTCATAACCGGAACTCATCACATCTCCAGCCAAGGCCGCATCCATGCCCAGAAGCTTGAGAGAGCGAGTAGTCAGTGCCTGCTGTCCAACCTCATGCATGAGCTGCTGTAGCTGTGTCTGTAGTTTGTACGCATTCACTTCGCCGTGTCCAGCTTGATGCCATAACTCTTTCTCACGTGCACTGAGATCCAGCGGTGGCAGGGTGAACTTGAAATAGGGCCGCTGATTACGATACACATACAGGTAGGCGCCTGACGCAACTGCAATGGCCGGCGTGTGTGGAGGGTTGTTATCCATATAGAATGTACATACTGATGTTGGTAGCTCCATTAGTCTGTTGTCCACCACAACTTTTGTGTCCTGCAAAGAACAGTATTTAGTATCATATACAGATGTCATAGAGACATGGCGATCATTATATGGAAGTCACAGAGAGACATCATAACATAAGTGCACACAGAGAGATATCCAAAGTGCATATGATATGCACTTTGGATATCGTACACTACTGCTACTACTCGGTTGCTCATGACCACTACGGGCCACTGGTACATGTACTGTCTGACCATCAGGATTGGTCCGGAATGCCATGAAACTCAGATTTACAACAAATCTTTGGTTTCCCCGGTGCAATTTTGAACTTCAGGGTGTTGCTACTCTATGTAGGCCACACTGTACATGTGCACGGAGGGTGGGGTGGGGCAGATGTATTCGTGACTATGGCTCAACATGATTGATGCGTGTATGGCGATTAAAGTCCACCACATACACTCCTCAGGGGCGTGCTCGGCCCCCCAACTAGGGGGGTGCACGGGAGCCGAGGGGAGCCCCCCCCCGGCAATTTTCTGCAATTAGTTTGCAACCTTTCTTGAATTTTAGAGCATATTTGCATACATTACAATTGCCTTGGATCAGATTGAAATTTTTTGGGGGGGGGGGGTGCACGTGCCCCCCGTGCCCATCGCCGAGCACGCGCCTGCTCCTACATTACATGTGTGTCTATGGGCTATACTAGTGTGTGGCCTCTAGCAGCCACATACCAAGCTACTGTATGGTCATGATGCATGCTTGCCCACACTGATCAGGGACTCCTGCATAATCGTGGTAGACCACATTTCCCAGCGGCTCAACCTCCTTCTCAACTGTAAACAGCCAGTGTGGACTGGTGCGACTTCCACAGAACAGGAGCTGGTGAATAAGAACGTTGTATGTACAGTACTGTTGGGCACTGAACAACAGGGCTAGGGGGCATTTGCTGCAGTCTGCATGGTCCGAAATCAAGCAGTAAACTAGAATCTGGTTCCGAGGGCACAAAGAACGTGCTGTTACACCCACACCGCATCATGTATACTACGGGCAGCAGCTCCAGAAATACATCAATGACCCAGGACCGGGCTGCCACCGCCAATGTTATGTTGTGCGGTGTGTTGCTCCTGACCATCATATCCCCCCCCCCCCCATTGTGAACATACAGCAGGTCCGTAGCAGCCCCATTTTAGTTGGCCTGACGAGATCTGACCTCGATGATGCCCCCCCCCCCCCCCCATTTTGAACATACACTGCACTGTACACATATTGGAATTCCATTATCACAATATGAGAATGTTGAGCAGCGGCTCTTGAATATTGTGAGCTCAGCAAGAATATTGTGAGCATAGTGAGCATATTGTGAGCATGGCCTGGCCGCTTACTTTGATCACCTTGAGCTTCATGTTCACACCATCCGCCTGGTCCGCCACCACCAAGCGCCAGTTTTGGTCTTTCTCCAGATCTTCCATGGCCAGACACCCTGGTACAACCTGCAAGTTGGCCAGTGGGTCATCTAATGCTGCTAACCATGTCTCCGATTCATTGCTCGCACTCGACGTCACCGCCACCGTCTCCGCAGGAGCAGCGGTGTCGCTAGTCCTCACGCTCTCGCTCGCATCCAGAGCCTCCTGAGGCGGCTGCTGCTGGAGAGAATGCGCTGCAATAGCAGCCATGACTCATGAATGGTGATTTGCCGTACTGGCTCGGTGCTCCTGAGTCCTAACACAGACAAACTGAATTTTCACTGTGACCTTGAACTGAAAAAGTTGAAGGCAACCTGCTAGGTGTTGTGTTACCCCCGCCAATCCCAGATTTCTTTTCCCTACAAATCTAGCTATCTATTCTACGACTACGCGGACCATGATAAACCTGCTTGTGCCATTACCTCAAAGCTGACAAGCCCGCCTGCACTGTGCAACGGCAAGACTCGGGTGTTTGTGAGAGCGACTACTCCGACTAGTCGTGAGAGCCAGAGAGGGAGAGACTCATCATATCAGTGCCAGATACTCTCACTTCCCGCTCCCAGTCTGTAGTCGGGCTGCATCATTACGGTCAGTGCAGTCTCCAAGACCCGCCGTCGCTCTGGCAACTCGACCACAATCATGTTGACCTCGGCCCGGGTCTACTGTCTCAGTGCCTGTACATCTAGATCTGGTAGATTGTTGGCAGTTGCAGACAAGACAACCGGCGGATGGATGACCATGATGACTGCTACTGGTCTGTATGTGCTGGTAGCCGCTCTGCACAGAAAGTGCCAGTGGCTGTGCAGTGGTGTATCTGGCACTTGGCCGGCGTGTGTGGATCACCGTCCGAAGACACGTAGACCTACGTCCTGTCCTCTTCGCACCTCGTCCGCGGTTCGGAGCGCTAGCGATAACTACTTCACACGAGGACGCTTTTTTACCCGCTGCTCCCATTTTCGTTACCAGTTAGCGCATTGAAGCAGAGCAAACAACACGCTTGAAAGTTGAACTAACTAACTTACTTGTTGTTGACCTGTTGACTGTCTTTTCGGTGCACATGAGCGGCGGCCCGGAAAGTTATCGGAAGCCCTGCCATTTCCAAGCCCGAGGCTTTAGCTGCTTTCTTTCTCTTGGCTACTGTGTACATGGCTACTGTGTACATAGCCATGTTACTACTAAGTACTAGTACTAGCACGCCTGGCTAGTCTTACCCACCTCTACAGCATATCGGTGTAGTGTAGTAGTACTAGTAGTAGTAGGAGGCCGACCATGGATTCCTGGAGCGCATACGCCGTAGTTTACTGTTTTGCCGTTCTACGACCTTCGCGGCGGCTGCCGGTGGAATGGTCGTGCATCGCAGCGGACAGTCGGCACCGGTATGTATCCTGCAAGTACAAGAATGCTCTTCTTGTACTCGACCACGCTCACTCCGTATGTCAATATGCGTGTGTGCACATATATATGTACATGTGCGTGTGTGCGTGTATACGTGTGTGTTGTGGTGGAGGCTGTGTGCGTGTGTGTGTCTTTGTCTTCGTTTCCGAACCGGAACGAGGTAAACTTTGTCAATATCTAAGTGTCGAAGACAGCCCAACAAGGTCGCATCCGATCCGACTTCTCGGGAATGACCAGTTTCAGCGGAAGTGAGAAGTTGTGGCTAGCTGTTGGCGGTGTTGCCTGTCCTGACCATCTCCACGGGTCTTCCATGTGAGTCCAAAATGCGGTGGCTGGCAGCAACCCATCTGCTGCTACTGCTGTGCGCCGCCGCCTGACTATCCGGCCGCTAGCCTAGCCTATGACCATTGACCTGTGCCTCCACATGACATCATTTTCTACTTGTAGTAAGTAAGCAGACAACACGTTTACCATGTATACGTGACTTGGGTGTATGTTGTTGTTGGTGTAGGATGTCCACAGCGCGGCATGTACATCATTACAATATACATGCGCATGTACATGTATGTACTTGTAGGTCTAGCAGAGTGATCGCGTGTCGGTTATAGGCTATTCAAACTACGTTGTAGGCTATTCGTACTACGTTACAATACGCGTAACATTTTGGAATACGACGTATTGGCAGGCGTCGTTTCATCCAGGTGCATTCACACAGGCACGTACATCCTGATAATTCGAACTTCGAAATGCCAGGAAAAAACTTTTTAAAATTATTATCCGGACGAAAAAAAAAAGGACAAAATGTTGTAAACGAGTTATGACTAACTGTCCACCAACTCAACCAGATCTTATACAGTCAGCGAGTGCGACAAAATGGCACAAAACTGACAAGGAGTACTGAGACATTCGGCGACCTGCTTTTTTCACCATAATTTAATTGGCTCACCATCCGAGTTAAAATTATCCGGACATTCTAATTATCCAAACATGAATCCACAACACACTATGTATGTCAAAATGCTCTCATAGTCACGCAGCGTTGCGCTATGGACCTTAGACACAGATTTCACGGATACTGAACTGACCGGCACAGCCTGCTCATACAAACTGAACTAACCAGTACAGTGTACAGTGAACTGCGAATTACACTTTGCGAACTTCGAATTATCAGCACAAATCCCACACATTTTCTATGTACTTGCAGTAAGTGGAATCCGTGGGACTTCTAATTAACCGGACATGTCCGGTTCGAAGTTCGAATTATCAGAAAAATTTATGTGGGAATCGTATGGACAGAAATCGGTCCTGGAAAAACTTCTAATTAAGCGGTATATTCAAATTATCAGGATTCCACCTGTATACGCTTTTCGTACAGCTGTGCGTACAGCTGTGCGCACAGCTTCTTTTGGACACAAACTGCGACAGAACGAATCTCGGTACAGGGGTCTGGATACGTCGTCTACGTTTTCGTATCAAGGGTACGATTTTCCCGCCACATTCTATGTTATGGCAATCCGGATGAAAACGTCACTTACACCACGTTTTGGGCGTAGTGTGAATGGCCCATAATGGGGGGAAAGCTTGAGATCATCCCAAGTCTGCTCCAGAGCCGGGACAGCCGGGTCAGTGACCCGGTTGAGGGTACTTGGACCCGTTTGGCAAAAGAACACTGCGTCACTTGTGACCCGGTCGGGAATACACGTGCAACACATGCATGTTGGACTCGGTATAAAGTCCATGCACTATATTGATGTCCCTATATACATTTTTGATGGGGATCTTTGGGTGACGGGTGGGCGTGAGCAGAGCTAGAGTGGTATCGTCAACATGGATTGCGATAATGGTGTATTAGGAATCTAGGATGCTTGGGCAAAGTGCTGTACAGTACCGATCATTTAGTGGTGTGAAATTTGCCAGGCGGAACTTATTCTCATGGCCTGCATTTTGAGATCATCTCAGATCGCTTGTTGAGCAGGAGCTTCTTTGGTGTCGTCCGGATTTGGAATTTTTCTGCAATACATAGGTGCATTTCTTTGACTAGCGTCTGTACGACCGGCTCTTCTCCCGGGTCTTCCCATGTAATAGATACCGGCTTTCCTTCGCCCTTCAGGTCCCATACGTGTTTAGCGAGCTCAGTTCTGTTTTCGTACTTTTCATGACGCATGGAGCTGAGGTGGTTGGCGTGTTGGGCTTTGAAGGTTGTCTCTGAGAGACCGATGTAGATCTTGCTGCTAGATTTGGCAGTGGCTTCGTACACTATTTCCTTGGTTTGGCACTCCCCGTGCATTGGGAAGGCCTCCTTGGCTCTGCAGTTGCATGCTTTCAGCTTGCCCGGGGTCTCACAGGTTATTCTTATTGGGACTGCTGAGCACTTCCCCTCATGTTGTGTATACAGCCGCTGTACATGTATGAAGCTGTAGGTGTTGTGATTGAAGATCTTCCGGAGTTTGGATCAGTGCCTTCGGGAAGTGCCTGGAGACAGGGCTCAGGAACCTACCAGTGACGCTTGTACTCACGTTCTTGGAGTAAGGTGGCTTGGACCATATACCCCCCCCCCCCCCCCCCCTAGCTACGGCGCTTGCCAGTCTTCTCTGTGATGCCGAGGTTGCACCTCTTTGTCATGCTGCTGTGCAACTTGGCCATGTCTTTGACAGCCCATGGCAGTGTGTACTCCTGGCCATTGTTTTGCAGCTTCCACTGGTGCTTCAACACTGAGCTCGGTACTTGTCCGGTATTCAGCATGTCTAAACGTGTGTGTGTGTGCGTGCACGTGCACGTGCGTGTGTGTGTGTGCACGTGTGTGTGTGTGTGTGTGTGTGTGTGTGTGTGTGTGTGTGTGTGTGTCGAGGACTGGTCTCCGCCCATCTGCCCAGCAGTGCGATTCGTTCACTCATGTATGCGCGTGTTCTCGCCGGTTCCATTTGCCCCGCAATCTCCGGCATCATCATCATCAGGCTGCATGCTCCGTCTTCCTCTCTAAAGGCCGATTTATACTTCATTTCGCATACGGGAAAGTCATCGCGCGACCATCGCGCGATGGCTTTCCCGTACGCGAAATAGTTGAGCTCAGATCAACTTTTTCGCGACGCGACGCTTTGGATGGGTGGGTGCCTTGCATGTTGTGAGGGTGCGTGTGTGGGTGTGATTGTACCACAACTTGAAGGGTGTAACCGATGCACAGTGTAGGACTTAAGTTGGTCCTGACTGACGACTTGCGATTCGTAAACCATGTTCGGGCTTGGCAGTGGAATTCTGGCTTCCCCCGGCAGTTGCCGGGCTTTTCGGGTATTTCTTCGACTAGTTGTCGTTTGTTGCGCCCGGTAATTATCGCTGCAACAGTTGTCATACATTAGTACTGAATTTCATGTTATTTTGGTTGAAGATCTTTCTAAGAGTTGTGTCTTTCAAGTGGTAGCCAAGCAGCAGCGGCGTTGCAGGTGAACAGAAGGGAGGATTGAACACAGTTATTTCCCTTTTGTTGGTTCTGTTTTTCTACACAGGTTACTCCCTCCGTGTACTCAATGTAGCAAGCATACCACAGCCGATGACTGACATACCACAGCCGGTGACTGACAGCGACATTGTTGTACATCGGCACGGCTTGATTAGATGCTTCTTTGTCTGAAGAATGGTGGACGCATGCCTACTGGAAGTTGCTGTAGTATGAACGGTGGGTGGTTTGATTTGATATACGACGTGGTGTGCAATTTAGACCGCATTTACAGCAAGGGCTGTATGCCAGCTTCACGAGTTGCTTGTAGAGTTGTACCTAGCTACACGAATGCCATGGAGCCGTAAAACCCGCATTACGTTTTTAGTCACATCCGGTAGACACATTGCAACAGTGCTCCTGGGAATCAAGAAAGTTGGGGACAGTTAGGCCAAAATTTCGTTTACGCAATATTCTCTCCAAATGCTGTGGATGTGCAGATATGGTTTGGAGAAATTATTCTGTGAAATAAAAACTTGGGGCACCAGAGTTTGTACATGTACCGTAAAGTACCGCCAGAGCGCCCCACCATCTCGTCCTTTCGTGGTCGTTTTGTGGAGGTGGTCTGCTGTCTGTAGGTCATACGACTCAAACCTTGTACATGTACACGTATTGCACATTGTGCAATAAATCCGTACCTTCGAGCGGACCCGAGCT